TTGAGATATCCAGACAGGATGAATTTCGGAGAGAAATGGGCGAACTTCAATGTCGTCGTCGAAATGGACAGGAATTAGCGAATTATCGCGTTTATTGTCGCGAGAAAGACGTTTACACGCAGATTACTTGACTGATTACTAGCATAGTCCCGATCGAGTATCCTCGAATTTCACGAATACGCAAGAAACTATTTCTCATTGCAAGCGGAAGTGCACTACAGAAAAATTTGTATTTTCAAACGGAAAAGAAAAAAAAAAGAATCGTATACAGTTTTGGGCATACTTCGCGCAAGTTCAACCAAAAGAGCGAAGGCAACAAATAAAAAGATAAGTAAAAATACAAGACTAAGACATACAAAGCACACAAACTTCTTGGTCATTAAGTGAATTTGTAAGAATCAATAAACAGTCTGTGCATCAGTTTTCAGTTTCAATTATATTTCTTTTATTTGAGAATTCATCATCAATAAATTTCACGTGACCCGAACTCAGTGCACAAGTCATCGTAGTACATCACAAATAGATATTGTTATGATTACTAATTATCATCGTTATTGTATGTTACCAAATATTATAATAAATGTTACCGTAAGACCAATCGTAGTTAGTTAATAAATCGATCGTATATTTCCGACTTCTATATTTGCAATATTTCATTAAACGACATTACATTGCGTTATATCCTTACTCTTTTCGTAAACGTTTCCTTTACTTAATCGTAAATATGTGAAATCGGTCATGTATTATCTCGATATGAAGGATAAAGAGGGTGCTATCATTCTCACTATGGTGATCGGGGATAAAGAGGAAGAAGAAGGGATAGATTGGTGCGAAGGTTCGTGATGTATATGAGGGTTATAAAACTGATAAAAGAAGAAATTTCGAGATTCATATTGCTAATTCGCGTCGAAAGAATTCTTGGTTTCGCCCAGGCTGGAAATTCTATTGCGAGCGCAAATTTATTATCACCTAACTTGAGAGCGGTCGAACTTGTAATATCGATCGCCTAGACAATCGATACATGTACATCTAGAGAAAGAAAGATACAACATTTCGCATAATTAAATGCGATTTTAAATCAATCGCGAATTTATCGCAGTAAAATTGAAATAATTGTAGCGAGTTACATTTCCTCTCTTTCGGCTTTCGTTTATGTTCTACCAGTTTCTACGATACAAAATACAATTAAGTAATTAATTAATTAATTTGTTAACCTACCTACTATATACACATATCACTATGTGCGTATGCATGGATGGACCGGCGCGTGTAAGCGTCATGTATCTGTATATGATTCTGCATACGTACATAAATTTAGATATCCTCGGACATTGCGAGAAACGTCCGAAAAAAAGTTGCGTTTTTTGCTGCAAGTGCAATGACTCACAAGGGACTCTTCGTTGATTCTTGCGATTAACACATAATACCAATATATATGGTCGTGGCGATAAGAATTATTATTGTAATAATAATCACATACACAGACACGACGTACAAGCATGTAAATAATAAAATCAAATCGAATTGAATCGGCTGTACGTTTGATCGTTCTCGATTCTCCTCTTTCCCGCGTTCGTTTATCAAATAAATGTGATTGCGAATTGTTCAAGTTTCGATGCGCCGTGATTGCCATCCTTCGTTGCCTTCGACTACGCGGGTGCTAACACTAGAACAGCTAAATTTATTACATTATTAAATAAATCATTAGAGGGAAATGTCACGATTATTTATTTTATAATTTTTTTTTCATTATTTTAGATAAAATGCGATAATTATTTTGATTTACTATTAAAAAATCGCTTATCGAGCATAATAAACGCATATATATATTTGAAAAATAGTCTCTTTTTAATAATGATAAAATTGATATTCCAGACAAATTTAGAATTTAGTCATCCTAATGTTAACCCTCTTCATTTTCAAGTACATATCACTAAATATTGAGAAAGACATTTAAATATTCTCTTAATTATATACAGTTTTCGATAATTTAGTTGATTATAATGATATTTATTTAAGATTTTTTTTTTCGAGAAATTACTTTATAAATTCTTAATTCGTTGCGCTATTTCGGTTATATTGGGCATCAAGATAGTCGAATCGTAAAATATATGTATATATATATATATATATATATATATATATATATATAAATTTATATAAATTTTAATTTTTTTTAATATCCTTAATACGTCTCGTCATATGATCGTGTTGCAAACGAGCGGACTAAACGTCTTCTACAAAAATTAATCTATTATAACACTTGCCAAGAATGGATTCGTCGTGGAGAGCATTTTTAGCACTTCGCGAACGGACCGGCGCAAATTTTCGCGCCGATACTCGCGCTGCTCTATCTTGATTTTATTTCATTTTTTAGCGCCTCGCGAAAACTGCCCCTGTGAAAACCGACTCAACCAAACTTGTTAATTTCGTAAATGCCGCCGGGCGAAAAAGGAAAAGTGGCGCAAGTGGCAGCTCCGGGGAAATCTGCGAACTCGCGCATTAGAAAACTCCACTTCGCGGACGCGAAAGTTTCGCGAGGCGATCCTGTTATTGTTTTCGAAGCGTTTCTCTTCGACCGGAGCCCGCGTGTCAAAGGCCGAAATATTACACGACGGTATTTCGTTGCACGCTTCGCAAAGATCGCGTTCTATTTCGAGAGAAAGCTTCGTCCGTCTCTCCCTAAACGCTCTCGCTCTTACAGAAGTACGATATAGTATTACGTTATGCTAACCTACATATTCCTAAATATCTTTGTGTATATATATATATATATAAATATATAAATATATATATATATACATATATATTTATTTATTTATTTATTTATTTATATACGAAATAATTATTTTAAGAAATGGGCATGTTTGATAGAAGTATCTGAATTTTTATACGACTGTTGGAACCTGATTGACGTTTTTCTATGAAGTGATCACGTTGCGAGATTATCTCTGCAACACGAAAATCGAGGCAAAAGATAAGTCGAGTATGTGCCATATTGTGATTTGCATCGCTCGACGACGACACTTTGATGACCCAAAGAAATCAACGATAACGGTCTGCGCGACGTAAAAACCGGCTACGATGGTTATTCCAGTGATAAGTCTCTCAGCTTTCCTATAATGTATATCGAAAGTCCCATCGATTGTCATATATCAGTTCGTTGTAACGTCGAATCGACATTTTTATACAATTGATATCTCGACAAATATGCAAGAGAAGAACGAAAATCGTTCGCAAAGAGAAGCTAAAGTCCACAATAGAGTATTTCATAAAATTCCATAAACCTGTCAACTGCCAACAATTGATAAATGTTGGCAATTCTTTCTTGTTTTAAATTTTAAATTCTGATAAACGCGATTATATAATTATCGATTTGGATAATAAACATGTGAAAGATTGTTATAGTTTCTGTAAAACAGATATGTATATAATAATGCTGTAATTGTTACAGGCATTTATCAATTTATCATAAATAGATACATAGATATCATAAATCATATAACTCGAGATGAACCGGAAAAAAAGAACATATATAAAATATGCAAAAATGTATGTAATTTTACACGTTTTTTTTTGACAGTCGCATATTTGCAGATCCATTTACTTCTATCAACCAAGTCATATATCTTGCTTTCTATAAGTTAATCATATTTAATCATCACGTTTTATCTCGTTGCTATTATAGTTATCTAACTTAGAAATTTACAATTTTTTTTCGATACTTTTTTAGACCTTTATATCGCTCGCGACCTCTAAAAATCTATTTCTCTACGTGTGGAATATCCTAAATTAAATTTTTCTTTGTCGCCACGTCCCGCCATCGATATATTACTGTTGATCATTGCATCACGCGCTTCTCCATCGCGCTATAAAATATACGCGTAAAATCTTTGTCGTTTTCAATCTTCCGTTTTTCTTCTTTCGCTGCTTGTCTCGAGTTTGCTTCGTCTTCATAAAATTCATTGAACAATCTTTATGTTAGTCTGCCACAAATTATTCCGCAAAATATCAAGTACACGGGATTAATCGCCATCGATACTGCAACTGATGTTGCGACATCGCGTTCGAAATCGCATTGTTCGCTAATCATCGACTATAGTTACGCTAATCTCGATGCTATCATCCCTAACGCTAAGCTACATATCTCTCCTCGTGATCGAACACGTGACATTAGCGTAATCGATTGAGCGTATAGAAATATATACCGCTTTGTAATCCTAAAACTAGATACTCTCAAAGTTTCTCTCTCGTCATAATCCTCTCGTGCTCGTTATTTTGTTATATTGACAAAATAAATGTTCGATTTCCAGCCTAGGATCCATCGATATCATCGCCATTCGATCGCGACCGTAAGCCATCTGGCTCGCGTAATCAGATCACCTTCCGCGCGGCGTAAATTACTGTAATTAGCGACGTGCGTCTAACTCGTCTGCGAAATCAGGATATTCCCGGTGTCCGCTGCAATTTCATCCGTTGTCATCGTTACGCTCTAATCACCACGAGCGTTCCATTACGCTCCGGTTGATTAATCTAACCGACGCTACATTTACGCGAGAAAAAATAGAGAGAAGGAAAAAAATGTAAAAGAAGAAAACCGAGAAGAAGAAACCGAAAGGAAGCGACGCGTCGGCGTTGATTTACCCTACCGAGTCGAACAATCGCACGTCGCCGATACTCGGCGTCGAGTTGATCTAGTAATACGCGTGAACGTAAATGAGATTATGAATGGGATGATGATGGGCGTGGGGATTGTGCAGGGGGGTGCACAGGGACGTCGTAGTGATGGTAGTAGGGGACGACGGATGATTGACAGATTGCATCGTGGATACGGGCGACACCTGATTGGGGGGACCGGCCGGCACTTGGTACACGGTATTGGGCGCGGCCATCGGGCACCTTGAGGCCCCGGCTGCGCCGTGTTGGGCCCCATGCTGTTGTTGTTGTTGTTGCTGTTGTTGTTGTTGTTGTTGTTGAATGTAGTTTGGTGGTAGACATACCTCGAGGCGATCGGTACGTGGCATCTTCTGCGGCATCGCCACCGTCTGCGGCACCACGCCGAGAGGACTGCCGACGCCCGTTGGGTCCGCCGGGCCCATTATCGCCGGCATTATCGGGCTGGGCGCGAAGTACGGGCTGTACGTGTTGCCAACCTGCGGCATACCGGTCAGGTACGGATTCGTCGCCTGCGAAAACACACCCGGAAGGTATCCAGGTAACACGGATTAGAACACACCTGTCCCCACCTTCGCTCCACGCGATTCCGTTAAAATGCGCGCTTTATATCTTTAACCGTATATATACAGAGTACCTGGTAATGTTGCTGCAACGACAAATATTCGACTTCTCGTAAAACGAGTCGGTTTGCGAAAATAACTTTCTCACTCAAACACTCATGTTTTATTAAATCATTTACAATAGAACTTTTGGCAAATTTTGGGCGCATAAAAATAAAAGTAATAATTTTGAAGATATGTCATGCATAGAAAATATATTCTACTAATAATATTTAAGAGTATAAAAATATGTTCTAAAATATTATAATATTGCATAACATTGCATAACATTAGGAAATACGTATAATTAAGAAAGAACTACATTCGACAAGACTAAAGTCGTTACCGTTTTGTAAGTTGCATGTTAACAAATATACATTTCACAAGTTTGATGAGAATTACGATTGACTGCATCGTAAAGTTTGATTGCAAATAATTTAAGAACACAGTCATTTGAAGAAAAAGTTTTTCTCGCAAAAATCAACTTGCTTTGAGCAGTCTAGTTCTCTCACAAGAGTTAGTGTTTTCTCATTTATGCTGCCAATTACCAAATTCCTTGTATATGTAATGTACTACTTCTGATTCAGGTAAATTCTGTTTTAAGATGCATTAAGGCTTCGCGAGCAGCGCTCTCTTCGGCTAATTAATTTTAAGAAGTTTGATATGTATCTAATTTGTAAAATTTATGCCGTCTAAAGTAATTGCTTCAATTTCAAATAACTAAGCAGTTATCTGATGTAATAACAATATATGAAAATAATTGCAAATTAATACATCTAAAAAAATTAATAACAATTTTTGAACTACTTACATTCAAAATCTCTAACTTTAAATAAATAATATACAATTAGCGTTCAAATAAATAATCTCATAGCAAACTCAATTAAACTAATCACAGATTGTAATAAAAAGATGTAAAATATTACACATTTATATAGAATTTAGAGAAATAAAAAAAATATTAATACTTGGAATTTTTTTATCTACAAATTTAATTAGATATTAATATTTTTCAAAATTAATATAACATCTCAAATGGAAAATTCTCTCTCAAAATAAAATGTATAATAGTCGCATAAATAGATGTATTTGCACTTATTTTTCAAAAATTATATTAATAACAATTAAATATAATAAATTAATCTATCAAGATAAACAATAATTTTAAAAAAGTTGTGTACAAGGAATAGATCTTTAAAAACGAAGAGACTTAGGTGCCAAAGGCGAGAATCAGGAGAGAAAAGGCATCTCGTTTGCGGACTTCGCGAAGCCTTAATCGTCTTTTTTCCCTTTTCTCATGCCCTCCCCTTCGCTTTTAACGACAAGCGTACACGTTCCCACACGAAGCGGTTTGGTTTTGTAGCGAGAACTAGCTCCCAGAAGCGAAGGCAGGTAATTTCAAGCGCATCTGAACGAGTCGATCATTCTCGTTCGTTCTTCTCAAAAGCCTTTAATATCCTGGGAGCTTTCGTCATTATAATGAACCTTTCGGAGACGTAGCTAGGTAATTGTCGGAAAATGTATTAATAATTGTGCTAATTCAGCAATATTTATGATCAGACGACAAAAGTTTTATTCTTGATATAGAATTATTATTATATAAGAATGGAATTTTTTTTTTCAAATCCGAAATTACCACGCCTCGTATCCTCTTTTTCCGTCTCTTTAGCTTCACATTTTCATGATATTAAAATTTAACGATTTTTTTTCACATGTTTCTTTACTCTTTATGTGATATCAGATATAGATAAAATAAAATATTTCAAAAAGAGAAACATATTCATCGCTTTTAGAGCTAAAAAACGCGCAGATATTTTACTTGGCCGCAAAACTTCATGCTTTTCTCTCCTACAGGAAAACTTTGAGAAAACATGTACAAAAATATCCTTTCCTCAATAAACAAACAAAACATTTTGTGAAGCATGCAAATAAAAGTTATTTAATTCACTATGCGCGTTTTTAAAATAAGTTTAAGCTTTCGTACGAACGCTTACCAATTATAGGCGAATCGCTCGGATGACTATAGTGGACGTAATAAAAGTAACTATTGTGTGAAAAACATATATAATATTGTAAACTGCAAGTAAATGTCCATTTATTGACTATTACATTTCTTGAAATGTCAGATTTGTAAACGGCAAGTATCTTTACGTCCACTTCTAGCCAGCGTAGCGTTAAATTAACTAAAAATTAGTGGAAGCCAACCAAAACCAGGAGTTACCATAAAGGCGTGGGTAGCGAGAAGTTGCTGCTGGATTTGCTGTTGAAGGTGATGGTGTGGTGCCGGAGGTGCTGGTGCCTCCTGTTCACCAATGACGTAATTGGAGAACACACCAACAATCAACCACAACCACGTGAGCCACAGCGGCAAACATAGGGGACAGACAGGCAGTCATAGTATAGGGTTCGATATCACGTAGCAACGACTATGAATGTATGTCATGAGTAAAAAAGAGAACGTTAATAACGAGTTTCGATTTTTAATTACTGCACCGTTGATAAAAAAAAAGAAAAGGAATTGACGATCTCGTGCGTGCGCGAGAACGCTTCATCGATTTAAAGACGCACGACTGGGACAGAAGAATTCGGAAAAAACGTGGAAAAGTTTCGTCGGTCGTCGAAGATTTATTTAGGTCGCTCGAAATGAACCCGAGCAACACACGCGATGTCGCGTGAAATTCTGACGAGTGGACGAAACTTTGCCGCGCCCAAATATTGCTCTATCGTTCAAAACTTTGAAATTATGCTTTTCCCGTAATTAACCCCCCGTAATTATAAGTCTCCCGTCGAATGACAAATATGAACAATGCTAGAAATGTTCGCTATGAGAATCTAGTATGTCCATTCTCAATCTGTGCTTCATGAGCCCTTTGCAAGTTATTTGATTTTAGAACTCATCTAAAGATTCATCGAAAGCAAAATGTATTTATATATCTCAAATATTTTACAATATATAAATACATTTAAATAAATTATATTTAAATAAATGTATTTGAATTTTTTTAAATATTTGTAATTTAAAGATAATTTAAATGTATTTCAAGTGATTCAGAGAAATAATAATAAAAATAAATACATTATAAATTTTAAATAGAAATCTTTAAAAAACCATGATATAAAATATAATAAGATTGTAAAAATCACTTTTTGCATTAAAGTTACATTAAAGAGATTCGAATCTGCAAATTGACTGTCTATCGAAATACGTGATTAAGTCAGGTTTCTCTAGGAAGAATAGGGATGACACTGACCAAGAACATGCGACGTGCTAAACTTTTTAATTCTGAAAAACTTTATTTCTCGGTGCAATGTCCGCAAGAAGGAACGCAGGTAAATATGGACGGCGAAGTGCTGCGCTTGTACCTCGAGAATTCTACCGGAAAAGCTTGCAAAGTGTTTCAGTTTAAATGCGTACGTGAACGCAGCTTCTATAATGCATCTAGCTTCAAATTTCATGATACTAATGTGATAAGGAAGCACCGCACCGTCGACAATCTACGCAGCGTCGCCTACCGGAAAAAAAAGATAATCTAGTGGTAACCCTCGAGACTAAACACAGACAAAAATCAATCTTACGATCGTGGTAAAAATGTGTGAATGTGTGGATAGCAAAAGACGAAGTGCAACGATCGTGTTAATTTGTTGGACATACCACTGTGGGTACCTGGCCGGGCACGAGGGGTTGACCCGGCGTGAGGCCCTGCTGGATCTGCTGCATCAGTGCGTTTTTCAGCGCTAGGTGGTTGCGCCCGTTTATGAGGAGCTGGTCCTTCAGATGCTGCGGGGGATGGAAATACTTGCAAGGTGGCTTCTCTCGATTACATCGACCCTAAAACAAAAAAGAATATATTTTAATAACAGATAAATATTTATATTCTTATTACTTTAGCGATAGATAAATATATTTATTATAATAAAAATGTCTGAAAGAAAAAAAGAGAAAGCTATAGATTCTAATTAATGTATAGCTTAAAAGTTTATGATTTAAACTATTATTTAAAATAACTATTATTTAAAAAAACTTGTAAGATAAGTAAAAAAAAGTAAAGAAACTTTTTTTATTTCGAACAGATGATTAGCAGCATTAATTTCTTCCTCTATAATCATAACTTCAAATGTTGTATTTATGTGGGAGTTTGTTGTCATAATTCTTTTTTTCTTCTTTGTGATTTTATGTCAACTTAAAATGAGTGCTCTAATTATACCAAAGAAAAAATGCGAGCAATTTTTTTCATTCAGAGAGAATGAAACTTGTAGAGATTATTCGCACCGGTATGTAAGAGTTATCAACTCGCAACAAGATTTATGAGTGGATGGATTGTTTTAAAAATGCTTGGTTTTTTGTTTGAATGTTTTCATACACAAAATTCTACAAATCTTAACCAATCACACATCCATCCTCCATGTCGCGTTCTCGTTCCCTTTGTTTCTCTTTCACGGCCTCTCCTCGTAATTTGGGTGTTAAGACAAAGTGTAATGCGGTTTACAGGATAAATTGCGGGTGTAAAGCTAGAATACAGAAGTGGCGCGAAAGTGGAAGGAGGATGCCGTCAAGCCGGTTGGAAAGAGGTTCATGGGATAGAGAAGGCGGAAGGCAGCGGGAAGAAGTGGAGGAAGGATAAGATAGGCGGCACGAAGCAAGGTCGCGCAGCCGGTGTGTTGCGGTGCTACTAATTAGACTTTAACAATATTAGTTCATGTAAGATGTCTATATAGATCCGGTAGGATAACCAACCGCCCGTGCTTTCTTACGAAAATCCGGTGGCTTTCGGTAACAGCGACTTGCGAGTGTAAACTCCGTCAGAAACAGAGACGGTTGCGCAGCGATCGACGGAAAGTGCTGCAGGTCCTGTTGGCGTTGATGGCAACGGCAAGACAAGAGCTCAAATATCGCCTAATTAAGCACATTCGAGAGTTTCGGGGAATAATGTGTAGGTAGCCCGCCACGAGAAAGTTCGACCCATTGAGAGGAACGCTCCGCCCTCTTCATCGTCTTCGTCACCACCGTCACCATCGTCGTCGTCGTCGTCGTTTTCGGCGTCGTCGCGTACCACGACAGTCGACCTCTCGTTGACACGGGGTGGTTCAAGTTCGACTAATTGCACGAGACAAGATTCTCATTCGAGCGCATGCTCGTGTACGACGCGTGTCGTGGATTCACCGGGGCTTTGGAACCGATAACGTTTGTTTCTCTCTTTACGGGTCACTGCTCTCCTATATCTTGTTTCGACATAATGAAAAACTAGTCGGAACTAGACAGCTTTTTGAGCTAACAATGCGATTCGTAAAGTTTCTCATTCTCTCGATAAACTTGATATATTGAAAATCCGTTAGTTGTTAAACAATTTAAAAAATTCAATAAAGGAAGCAAAAGAAATATCAAGATCAAACGATGGAAGATGATGAATAATGTTTCAGAAAATTAAGGATAGAGGGAGATTTTGAAAATTGTTCCTCAGGCTTATATTATTATCATTTTAATCTGATAAATAAATCAATGATAAATATTACTTCGACATAAATTGTCAAATAAGAGTACCGATAAGAGTACCATAATGATGTAAATAAATATAGTTTCGGGGGATGCTTATGCTAATGTATATTCTAGATGGGTGGTTCTAACTGATGGGAGTAATATTAAAGTTGATTTAAAGGGTCTACTGATAAGAGATAGCATTCTCAGAAAAGCCGCGTGAAATGTTCCCCTCTAATTTTAATGAAACTTTAATGATATTTAGAGGATCTCCGAAGACGGGTAGTCTCGTAAATCTCATACATAATGATGTAATATCTCACAGATCTCTTAACGACTGAATTGTTTCATCCTTAGACTGACTTCATTTTAGTCGACGAATCTATATTATTGAGATATTTTCAAAAAAAATCTTTAGATTTTTGGATATATTATTTTTATATTTCAGCTAATTTTATGTCGCAAATTGGTTTCCAACTGATTAAAAATATAGATTCAAAGCAAATTATTTCGCTTAATTTTTAATTATTTTTATTTATGTATGCTTATACTTTATAAAATTACATACGTCTGTAACATTATCTCAACTCTAATCGTTTTTATTTTATATTTTTAGATGTATAATTAATAAATATATACATATATATTTGTAAAAATATAAAATAATAAATTGTTTAGGCTTTTCAGAAAGGCTTATTTTATAGTAATAATAGATCCAATAAAAAATGAATCATCTGATAGTGCATGTAACCTTTACAAAAATTAGTAACTGTAGAATTAATAGTTCGTGATGAATTTATCTTCAGATAAAACTACTCAAATAACATATCTCGAACAAATTGTTCACTATACATTCGTGTTATTTAAAAAAAATTATAATATATTGAAAATTTATTACAGAGATATTATCGGAGATATCATTTTTCCGGCTTTTAAAACGAAAGTGAATATAAACTAGTATATAAGTTTGCCATGAGTTAATAATAAGTAATATTCGATTTCATGTTTATCCGCTTAGACGAATAGCTTAATATAAGAGAGGCTTTAATATTTTTACATTGTCGATCCCGCAAGAAGGAATTAACCTTATTACATCGTAAGACGACATGATAACTTCTGAGTCACGTAATAACAAGACTATACCTATCCGTTTTCAAATTAATCTTATGCATCTTGTTAGACAAACATAGTTTAATTCTGTCATCCCATCGTATTCAATTAAGGAATGCGTTTAAAAAATTATTTAAATTTTACAATATGAGAAATATTAAAATAACTTTATCATATTATTGAAATTTTTACATCAAATCTGGAAAATAAATATTAATAACAATTTATATATATATATATATATATATATATATATATATATCAAAAAGGCTAAAATGATAATTAAATACTTGATTAATTATTGTATATGTCAATACTGCTTATATTATATCAATTAATTACTATCTGCAATAATTATATTATAGTCAATAAATGTCACATAAAATTAATATGAACTGAATGTTTGTATTACTGTAAATAAAAATATATATATATATAAAGCTTTATATTACATAAATATCCACATATATTCATACTAAATCATTGGTACAATTATCCGTGATATGTAGTACAGATAAAACTATATATTTTTCTTTTATATAACGAGAAAAATATACGAGCTGAAAAGATTAAATAATGAAAGAAAAATCTAATCGATACATAAAGGCAGTAAATAATCTCTAGCTTGTTCGTTTCTTAATAACTTATTGGCGCGAAACGAGCAGGTGTGTCAGAGCAAAAAAAATGCTTTTAGTCGTCTCGTACGAATGCAACGAAAAAAACCTCGGTGCCTTCATTGTTTCGGCCTTCCGGCATTACAAAAGAAATGCCGGTGGATGAAGGCGGTCGGAGGCTCTAGACCGACTCAATTACAGTCGCTGAGCGACGCGATAATTGGGATCAAGATTGATTGTCTTCCTTCCTTTCGTGCTGACCTCCCACGAATACAAGTTACTCGGAGAATGTGCATTTCCTTTTTTCTTATCCTAAATAAAACAAAGACGCTAGTACGGAAGACAAAATACAGTTCGTCCGGATGAAATGAGTATTTAGCGATTCATTTTAGCATGTAAAGATCTTCATATAAAATAAATCTTAGTATAATTACAACAAATAAGTTTTAACAATCATAGTACCGTACAATAAAATTGAAGTAAATTAATAAATTTCTTTTTCTGGAGTAGATCAATCTAAAGATTTTAAATTCCTAAGAAGAAAAACTAAATATCGATTTGAAATAAATTAAGATATCTTTTCAATTATTCAATCTGATTGCTCATAATTATAACACAAATTCATGAAATTGCTCTTTTAAACACTCATCTATGACAGCGGATTTTTTAATTACATTATTGTTACATTTGCTCGTTAATCGTCTACTTAATCCACAAAAAATGTTATCGATATCAATTATCGCTAAAATTACAAGAATCACCACATATGTATAAGTAGGGAAAAATATGACAGTAAACCACGTGATAATAATTCGAAATGAAAAGCATCTCGAATCGTTTTTCCCAACCAGGCTGAAAAAAACATGCGCAAAGATACTCGCGAAAATGACTCGACGACGAGACATGAGAAAGAAAAAAGCAAGAGAGTAGCGAGAGACAAGCATAGAAGGTGCTCACTTCATAGTGGTGGAAAGTCGATGTCTAGCAACCTTTTTCACCTCGATAAAGCCCTGTCGTCGAAGGTGGCCGACGAACACGATCCTTCAGACCCGGGCTAACCCCGTTTTATAACCTCTCACCCATCTCTCCCATCCTTGTCCTCTTTTCGCCGTCTCTATCGCGCTTTAGGGAACAGACCGAGGAGGAAGGAACGCGTTTTCGTTGTTGAAACGAGCATCGAAGACAAGACGACGGGGGAAAAACTATATGCGAAAAATCGAAAGAAAAAGAGCGAAGAGAAAGAAGTTAGGCGGAATAGAGAAAGGGGGTGGAGTGCGAGGGTGTCGACGGCGCACACATTCGTCGAGCTGTTGCTGCAAGGGCTGCAGGGTGAGCGAAATTACTAGGATTTGCGCGTAGATTTGCATATCGATTTTCTCGGCGGAACAGTGTCGTATGGCGGCGTGCGCGCCAGCACACAATTTGCCTTAATTTCGCCGTGGGAGCTATCTACCAACATTAGCCCGGTGTGGCTAAAGCTTAAGCGCGACCGTTTCACGGCACGGTGATGCCGTTTCGGATCACGCGGTTTGAAATTACCGGCGGTAACACCCGGTAAAAATCAGGGAAGAACTTCCGTCTACGTGGCGTTAAGAAGATGGGATTTTTCGGGAGGGAAACGCAGTTTCGGAT